CATAACTCTGTGCAGAGACTATTTTCCTTGCTTTGTCCACACATTCACTGGTGTAAGACTACATGATGGGGAACTCTGGAAAAAGGGACAGCTTGCATCCAGGACAAATCAGCATCCCCCGGAGGAAAGCAGGGCGATGAGAGCTTGTTTTGTTAGAAACTTCATGTCCAAGTTAAGAACTTGACATTCGATTTATCACGTACATTAACTGTCTGAACAGCCTTCACTTGAATGTTTTAAAGATTACACAAGAAATCTAAAACCTAGTGCATCTAGGCTCTGTGTCTCAACAAGTATCTCAAAGGTCTACTTGAACGTGCTGAGCCAGGATTTTAATTTGAAGCTTGCAGAGCCAATAATTCTCGATCCACGCTTTCTGCTCCTATTAATTGATGAGAAGTGAATGGAACACTCCTTGGGGAAGTACTTAGTCCAGACTTCACCCTCTTACAAATAAAACCGCTGGACCAGTTCCAATCCACAACTCTTATTCTTGGGCCAGGGACTAGGAGAAGTGTCTGCTCATCTAACAGTGACCATCTAAACGCCAGTGTATGCCAGACACCGTATAAAGTACAAGGAATACGACACTAAATAATAAAATCCGTATGTGAAATGCTGTGCCAAAGAAACAAACGATGCTCTAGCAGGCACACCTCGCCGTATCTGGGAGAGGAGAAAGGAAGAACGGCTAAGAAGGCAGTGCTGAAGGATAAGTCTTAAGAGGGCCAAGAGGGGTTTCCCAATCAAAAAGGCAGGGTAGCACAACCCCAGGCAAATAGCTAAGGCTCCCTAGGCCGGGAACAATCCCAGGAAAGAGCCATGTGAAAGAATCAAGGCGAGGAGCATAATGAATAATAAGCCAAGGGTCCTTGCTGCAGGGGAGCTTGCTGCTTGTTCCAGTCCTGACAACATAATGAGATGTCACCTCGGAGGCGAGAAGGTAAGCCGTTCTCCTAGGAAAAGCTGTGAAAATGAAGATGTAAATAAGGCTGTCACCTTTTCTCCCTAGTCTTGGACAGCAGATATTTTCCTGTAAATAGATGCTTCATTTGGGCCCCCAGGACTGAGTTCTCCCTGCGGCAGTTCACACCTCCAGATGCCCATTGTGTCTGTTTTAGAGGTATTGTAGGCATATCAGGATCTATTCACCAAAAAGTGACCTTGGGCTTCTTTTCCAAGCCTGCTAGGAACCCAGTCTTTCATCTCAGTTACTAATGCTTCAGTCTCACAGTTGCTAGGGCAAAATACTAAAACTCACTGCTTGCTCTTTAGTCCAGGCCTTGAATATACAAAGCTTCTTAACAAGCATGCTGATCCCACACTCAAGCGCGCCTCTCCCCATTACACTCCGCTCCAGTTCTTAGCCCAAGGGACCACCTTTGCCCTACATCTCTAGGTGATCTCCAAACTCTTCATTCTCCATCTAACAGGCAGAACCTTTTCCATGCAGAGTCACACCTCGTCGCTGCAGGATTGAAATTCCTTGTGTCAGAGTCATGGACCCCCAGCTCTCCAGTTTGGACCCTAGCATGACTTACCAACCAATTCTAGTCTCCTAGATTTAGCCGCCAATTTTAGTTCAGTCTCATCTTGATTTCCAGAACATGAGAGCTCTTTCCTCACCAATGCTATTGAATCCACAGCTTCCATGACCCACACCGATCTCTTGCTCCGCAAAGGCTGTCTTGCCATCCTCTTTCAACCTTTCCTGCAAAAGTCCCGTTGAAAGCATCTGAACACGACATCTAATAAAGCCACCCGAACTCTTCAGAAGCATCACCCTACTTATTTCCTTCTTAGGAATTAGCAGGATATGTAAGGACTTGTTCACTCATCTATTTCTTTACTGTGTCTTTCCTCTACTAAGTCCCAATTTGATGAAAAATGCTATAAATACCACATCCCAAGTAAGTAGCATATGGTATGTGGCTCCAGGCGTGTCCTTAATAAATATTTACTGAACAAATGAGGGCCAAAGCCAATAATGTTTTAACAGTAGACTTAAAGGTTAATGGAAACATACAGAAATACCAATTATTGATAAAATAAAAGTTGAAATGATTGTTTGATTTGATCCTCTGGTGAGTCACCACAGAAGGCAGCATGTTTGCCTGTATCATTACTAATATGTTTGGATTGACTACTTGCATAGAATTGCTCTTTGTTTCCCTGCTGCTTGGTAAACCCTTCCTCTGTAGAAGGCAGAGGTAAGAATGCTGTGAGTGGGGAATAATATAGACAGAAAAGTGGAAAACAGTCTTAGATGCTTTAATAAGAACTTTGAATGCCACGTTGCTACCATCTTTGTGGTTTCCAAATAGTCTTCTTCCTTGAAGATTTGAGCTGGAGAGGTCTGTGTTTAATGTATCGCAGAGGAGGAAGCAGCAAAGACAGCTGAGGTAGGATAAAGAGAGGGACAGGTGGTAGAGCAGGGAGATTTAAGAGTTGAGACCACACGGGGTAAGGATTTTTCTGAGTCTTTAGAACGTGTACTTATGACCACTGAAGAAAGGATAGCCCTTCCTCTCCTTGGTGTGGAGTATGAAGGAAAGTTAGAACTTCCTTGAGCCTGTGAAAAGTGGGAAAGAGGAGGTGGGGACAGAGCTCAGAACATAGGGAATGTGTCTTGGGATGTTGTTGAGGAATTGGGAACCATTGACGAAGAATTCATTAAAAAAAAAATCGTCACTGAAGATCCACCAAAGCCATGAATTCTGTACCTATTCATACAATTGTATCATTAATCAAATGGTTATTCAGTGTTCTAGCAGACACTCAAAAGTACCAAGATTAGTAAATCACGTTTTGCAATCAAGCAGGAGAGAGGTTGTACTAGTTAGCAAAGCCTCATGTTGAGGGTCAAACCAAACTCTACTGAGCTAGAACCCCGAGGATGAAGGTGGAGAGGAGCCAGCTCTTGTCAGAGTTTGTTGCTATATAATTGAAGATTTTAGGAGTAAAAAACCAATGATGGTCAAATGCCGAAGGAGAACACAGTTCCATAGAAGACCTATAAATATGGCAGCTTGAAAGGAAATTCGAACGTCGCCCAGACAGGCAGGGTAGGCTTGAGGTTATGACTCAGTTACTGCAAGGCTTGACAAGGACCTGGGGTGCCCTGGAAGGCCACACAGAACACCGACAAGAACAGGCAGAGGGTGCCATATTCAGACAATACAAAAATGGAGACTAGATGGAATTATGTGTGAGAAAGATGTGATCGTGTTCTTAAAGTCAGAGTTGATAGCAAACAAAAAGCACTCCCCAGGATGCTGCGTCAGAGAGCGAGGAGCTCTCTACCACAGGATTGCAGTCGCAGCAGGAAGAGGTGCTCTGACCTGCAGAGCTGTGAGAAAGCTTTCAGACCAGGTTTCCCAGGGTGCAGCCCAGGATTGAGCTCTGTGAATGATGAATGACAATGACTGCAGAAGGAGGAGGAGGAAGAAAGGAGAGGTGGGAAGAGAGGGCAAGGGGAAGGAGGAAGAACTGAGGTATGGAGAGAAGAAAGGAGGGATTAAGGGAGGGAAGGGGGATAGCGCATACTCTCTGGTCTGCAAAAGGCAACACACCCATTCCTGTCAGAGACCACAGGGCTTTAGCAGCCTGTCTGCAAGGAGGAGTGCTGCTCTTTCTCCCAGGCCAGTGCCAAGAGTAAGCGCATGTCATTGTGTTGGTGTGACCAGGAGAAAGCTCTCTTCTGTCTCTTTTTCAAACTTGCTTTTGAGGTAGCAGCAGCACTTTGAGAATGAAAGATACTGTTTTGCAAAAACAAAATAAAAACAGAAAAGTATAAAGATCACTTATACTTGCAATGGAGATGCTATAATTATTATCCTTCCTGACACTTGGGGTTTCCTGGCATTAATCACAAGGACTGTACTGCTTCCCCCCCACACACACACCATCTTTGTTGCTGGCATCTTTCTGGTTTCTCTCTTTAAACTCTGTCTTGAGTCATGTTGAATGGGTACCACTTTGTGCTACCTTCCCCTGCTGCTGCGGCATTGCTCTGACTGTGACCTTCAACTGCATCTCTAGGCTGCCTCTTGAGAGGCTCTCAGGGTAAAGACCATGCTGCTAGGGCCAGCTGGGAAACCAATTAGCTTTTCATATCCAAACTCTCAGAAGACAAAGTGCCACACTGGAGGTGAGGCTAGCCAGGCACCCTGCAGACCACTGCCTGCCACCACGGAGGTGCCACTCTGTCGTTCATTAGCAAGATCCAGCGTCTTGAGCCAGCAATATGGCAGCCTAGAGTAATAGGAAAGGGCTTTTGTTAGCTTGAGTTGCCTAAGCATACTGTGGAACCCCGAAATGATTTCTCTTCCCTACAAAGAGTGCCTATTGCTTGCTTCCATTGAGAGAGGCAAAGCGGTCTCAGGAAGAAGAATGCCTTCCACATTTGTGAACCCGAGAAGCACGACCTTTGTTTTACCACATAGGTCGAGACTATTCTTTACCACAACCTTGTTAATTCGTTCTTTCCCTCCTTCCTCCCACCCATTTCCTGCCATTTCCCCGGGAGCATAAAGCTTTTAGCATCCGGCTGTCCATTAGCATAAATAAACCCATGCTTTTAAGGTAAAAATAGTTTCAAATGTTATATTTGCTAAAGAATGCATTACCATAAGAGAATAAAAATACTCTTGGTAACAGGTAGGTCATATGCTTTAGAGGCAGAAACACACTGTGTGTGCGCGCGTGTGTGTTTCCCTGAAAGGTGATGATTTCAGTCATAGATTAAAACCTAGGTCTCAGTACACACTACATTTCCACTTCAGAAACCGTTAAGTAAGGAGAGTTCCAGAGACTTCTGCCTTTATGTTTTCATTTATTTTTTTTTCCCATTGCCAATATTTTATAGGCAGTTCTAAAACACAACATAAACAAAAGCCATCCTTCAGTCTGATCTTTGTTGTGTGAGCAACTGGATGATGTTGCCCCTCCTCCATTTTGTCTAGTGTTAATTCAAATTTGATGTAACATTTATATGGCAGATAAGGAAATACTGGGCTGAGAAGCAGCAGAAGTGGCAAGACATGGAAATGAGAGATCTCCAGCGACTGGAAGAACTGACAGCATTCATGGCTGAGCAGTCAGTGAAAGACAGAGAAAGGTAAGGGAGGGACTTGAGACCGTGATCGTGAGCTGGGGGAGCGCCTACTGCAAGATGTTAGGATAAGCAGTAATCAGAGCGAGGGTCTTTCACATCAGATATCGCCATTCGATATTTATATCTACAAATAGATAAAGTGATATATAGATAATATAGTTTAAACTTTCACTTTCATACTTAAGTCTCCAGTGTTCTATTCTGGTCCTTTGATGGCTTCCTAGTTAAAGATCTCACCGAGGGCTTTCTGGCAACTGGTCGCCCACTGCGTGAGTGAGATGATGCTGGTGGCTGCTGTGACTTAATATCTTGACCCAGGAGGAGGAAACCATTATTTTAATAAGAAAGGGGCCCATGCACTGTGACTGAGGCTGAGAAAGACAATCCACAATTACCCAGAGCTGGGTTGATGTTCCAGTGAACTCTGTGCACCAGATATGAAAATGTGCCCTAGAGTTTCCTACAATTCTGTAACTGCAGAGCTGGGCAGGACATTTGAGATAATGAGCTCCATCTTTTTATTTTATGAGTTACACCAAGAAATTAAAACAATGTTTTTTAAAGATTCCCTTATCGGGGCCTAAAAGAGAACAGTAAAAATCCTAATAATTTGGAAAGGAAAATCCAAAAATAAAGAGCTCGATTCCCTATCAGGAAACCCCTTATACATAAAGAGATCAAGGGGACACAAAGGAAGTTTCTAGGGCTGAGGGAAGAGTTCCTATGGAAGAAGTTAGAATTAGAACCTGTCTCTGGAGTTCTAGGTGCTCCTTGTCCCAACTATCTCCTGGATCGTCATCATACTGTTTTCCCGGTGTCTCAGTCCTTAAGAGTTGAGTATGGAACCAAGAGGATAGCAAAGCCCGAGCTTCAAAGTCAGGTCAAACAACCAAAAGGGCAAACAGCAAGTGAAGGCCAAGATACAAGTGGCTATCCTCTGACGGCTGTGATGTGACTCAGAAAGAAGTGAATGGGAGCCCCCGCATAGCCGTGCACCAAAGGGCAATGCAAAGGCAACGGTCAGGAGGCTGGTGGGGCTGTTTAAGCTCCCCCAGGAAGAAAAAGAGAGCCACGGGAACTTAAGGGAGGCAGAAAGCAGCGCAGATGTGGAGTTCCAGCATTTGGGGCGAGCTCCTAATAGAACGGCTCTCATGGCGGGAGCTTCTCCGATTGCAGAGCCTTTTTCGGTCTTCGGCTTCCTGTCCTAGTAATTAGCAAGATTAGCTGATTCAGAGCTTCGGTTGAAAAGAAGAAAACGAAAATCAGATTAGTGTGTATTACATAACAGGAAAAAATAGCCATACTGCAGCATAGCGAAAAGGGCTGAGGACCAAGCGCTGTAGCTCAGGATTTTATTCTTAACTCGGCTTTGAACAGTGTACGACCTTGGGAACATCCGTTGTTTACCTTCCTCCAGGCTCCGACTTGTCCGCTGGAAAACAGTTGAAAGCTGAGAAGCTGATCGCCTTAAATATATATTTTATTCATATTTTAAAATATGTAGTAATAAAGCCATTCTTATAGAAATGAAACCATTTATATTAATGCAAGCTGCTTCTTGATGCCTGTCCTTATGCACTGTCTTATCTGGAATTCATTGCTATTACCAGCTGTTTAAAGAAGTACATATATATTATCTATACATACCCAGACAAAAATACAAGTGTAAGAAAAACCAAACATCCTTCAGTATACTGCCAAATATAGTACCATTGTATTATTCAGCTAGAGCTGTCATGACAAATGTGTTCCCTGGGAGGTTTTGAAATCTGAGATTTATTTTCTTAGTTCTGGAGGCTACAAACCCAACACGGGCCAGGGTTCTGATGAGGAATTCTTCCCTGGCATTTAGAAAGCCGCCTCTGATGGAGGCTCACTGCATTGACTCGGAGGGACAAGTGCCCTGATGTCTGCTAGGGACAAGTGCCCTGATGTCTGCTCCTGTAAGGACACTCATGCCCTGGTAAAAGGCTTCACCCTTTCCCAAAGCCACTGGAAATAAAAGCGTGCACATGTGAATTTGGGGCAGACGTGTTCAATGCAACCATCTGGAAGAAAGCAAAACGTGTTTGTCAAACTGAAGATTGTTAACTTAGCTATGTTTGGTTGCTGCTAGCAAATAATATTGGAGCAATTAGAAAAGGCGCCCTAGTCTAGCAGTGATGTGTAGTCAGGCCCTGCTGCAGAAGGGCAAACTAGAGAAGGTTCTGCTCCTGAACCATGGCACACAGAAGCAAGATCCAGAGCAACCTTCAAATGATCCATGGTAATGCTCAAAACAAAACTCTGCCTGTGCTTTAAGACAGAATGTGCGGTTCATGCCTCTTCTGAAAACTAGCCATGGAGCCCTCTGGGATTTATATTCGTGAATGATGACTGAATATTCAGAACCAGTTGATAATGATTCATCATTACCCTTTGATTGGCTACGCCACTTTATTATATATCACATTTCGAATTATGTTTTTATATCCTTATGGACTCTAAATTAGATTAAATAAAAGCTGATCTCTGTTTATGCTTCCGCATGGGCACCATGCGGTTCAACCACTCTCTCGGGCTGTCTAGCAGGACAAGTATTCTCAAAAATAGCTACTCTTATGTCAGTTTTCTTTTACAGAATTTGTAGACTTTTTGCACTAAAATGTCAAGGAAAGCTGTTTGATATATACACAAAATCTAATCTCCTATCTAAAAATATGCGGCCAAAATAGCTTTCTGGTTCTTTTTTTTTTCCTCTCAGGTTCTCATAGATGTTGGTTTTTTTCCAGTGAAAGTTTAGAAATTCTCTTCATTGAGGTAGACACTTGTGACCAAGAAGGTAATTTCAAGTTCCCGTTAGGTGAGAGGAAATGTCTACCTTCAGAGAGCAGCCACGGGGGTGCAGAGGTATAAAGGCTGGGATGTTTATTAAGTGTTGAAATTAATTAACTTAGGAAACTCAAGTCATTGAAGATGAAGTCGGAGAAAGAAACCTCACCCTGAGTATAGTTGCTGTTGTTTTAATATCTGTTATTCATCTTAGACAACTTCATACATCTATATAATCTGTCTTAATCATGCCCACCCCATCTCTTTCCTCTCAGTTCCCATTTTCCAATATGTCCTGTTCTCTCTCTCTCTCTCTCTCTCTACCCCAATAACTAGTTTCTGCACCCACTAGACTGTTGACTGGTCTTGTTGGCTTGATCTTCTGCAGGGGGCTAAGAGGTTTTGTTTATTTGGTTTTTGTTGCTTGGGTTTTATGTTTGCTTATTTTTTTTTTTGTTTTGCTTTTGCCCCTTGGTTATTTTGTTTTGAATTTCTTATTTTACAGCCCATTTTTTTTTTTTGCCTGTAATCTTCCATCTGTATCTTTGGCCAACATTCTGAAATGACCTTTTTCACTATCTTATTTCTAAGTGGCTTTTGTTTTATTTTTTACTGCCCTAACAATAAATCAGTGGCTGTTAGGATAGTTTTGTATTTTCCATGTCCTTTCATAAAAAGGTGCAAAATTCTGGCACTTTCTTGGAAGCTACTAAACCCAGCTATATTTTTAAAAACATTTAACTGAAGAAAAGTTTATGTATCACAAAAGGCCCCTGTTCCAAGTATTTGCCTCGTCGGTCTTTCAGTAAGTTTATAGAGTTGTGCCACCATGGTGACAGCTAGCTTGACAGTGATTTCTGTCACATTGTAGAGCTCTCTCCTGCTCACTTGCCTTGGTGTCCGTCCCACTTCCAGCCACGAGCAACCAACCACTAATCTATTTATGCCACAATGAATTTGCCTGTCCTGGACATGTTAGACAAATGGGATGCATCTGTGTTCTCTTCTGGCATAATGTTTTTGAGGTTCATCTGTGTATCATCGATTTCTTTTTATTGTTGAAGATTATTTTACTTTGATTCTACCTTCTGTTTTTTAGAGCCATATATTTTCCTGTTGAGAACAGATAAATATTAACTTAAGTGTTATTTTTAAAATCATTGCTCAAAATTTATATGTAAAATGATATTCAGCTCCTAACAGAGCAATTGCTCACTCACTCACTGTATCCTCCCCATCTGAAGAGTAGAGGGTCCTCGATTTCTCAACAAGAGATCCCAGTTTCTTCATTAGGCCCCCGGATATAAAGTAGCAAAGAGAAAAGGAAACTTTTCCATTAAAGCTACCTCCAGGGCTGGGAGGCTCGGTGAGTAGACTGTCAGCTGCATGAGTGTGGACACCCGAGGTGTGAGATCTCTGGAACCCTCTTTAAAGCCAGACACTTTATATACAAAACCAGTGGCCAACATAGAGACTGGACACTAGAGCTGACCCTGTTGTCAGGGTCGCTGATGAGCCAGCCCTGTGTGCATGAGAGCAGGAGAACTGACACCCCACCTTTCCAGCATGCCCCCTACAGCAATCCAGAGAGAGGACCCTGTGCCTCATTGGTTCAAAGAGTAGAGCTGACCCTGACAATATAAGCAAGGAGGACCTGGATCTGAGGTCTCGAGAGCAGGAGACCTGGCCCTGCTCCTTGATGCCTTCCACAGTGAGTGAGGGGGCCGAGGCAGTGCCAGAGGGGTCATCCCAGCAGTGACCATGAGGGAACGCTAGCAATCTGACCAGCCAGCCCATCACCAGGCCCAGAAACTGGGATGAGTTGGTTTAAGCTATCATCTACCAAATCTATGAACTGTTGGAGCATTTGCAGGGGATGAACCCACAGATCCAAAACAGCAGGATCTCTAACAGAACAACAACAGGATATCCAAGAGGAGCCCCAGTGAAAACCCATTATCGGGGGTATAGCAGAAACCAAAGGCCTCGAGCCAGACCAGTAACTTGTGGCAATGGACACTTGCAAATAAAGATGCATAGACTAAAGGGCAAACTGTGTGCACACTACAGTGTCCATGATAAGATTCTCTTTTCCCCCTCCTCTTCCTCTTCCTCCTCCTCCTTTTTCCTCTTCCTCTCCTCCTCCTTTGTTTTGTTTCTTTATTTTGCTTAAATTTTGTTTTTTTCTTTTA